GAATAATTGACGCTCGAGCGGGACATTGTGTCTCATGCTCGAGCGGGTGTCGAGCGCCCAATTGAGCCTGATTTTCACCTATCCAGCACTTTTGACTGTTTTGCAGAATGCTCGAGCGGGTAAGTCTACGCTCGAGCGAAAACCTTTGTCTGCATTTCTGCTCGAGTGGAGTAATCTACGCTCGAGCGTGACCCCTGTTTTATGAAAATCTAAAAATGTTTTCTGAATGCATCTTTGCATTCTCATCTCATCCTAGACATTATTAGGCCTAGTTTAAGGCATCTTAATGAGGATATAGATGTAGAACAGACCGAGGCAAATTAGGGATTAAGTTATTGTCTTTCCCAATTGTGTAGCTTAGTGTGTGTTCAATCTATAACTGTGTAGGGTTGGCGACTGGGGACGCACTCTAGTTGTACTGTAGCCCAGAACTCTGTAAGTAACAACTGTGTAAAGATATGTTCAAAATGATTATCTTCTGAACAATTGAACTATACCGCTTTCTGAACTGAAACTGTTAATTGAATGAATGCATGTCCTATATTCTGAACTGTACTGTGGCATTCTCAGCAACTACTGTTTACTGTTACTGTTACAGAGATCTCTGTCGGTTCCCTTGTTGGAACCACTACTGTTACTGATTGATGGCCATCATTTACTGTTCGATCTTTTAAGACCTGCTGTTTACTGCACTGTTATGCTAATGGATGTACCACATATGACTGAATGACTAATATACTGAATTAACGAACTGTTTTCATTATTGTAAGGACATTCATTCTTAACCTCTTTACGCATTATATTATTCACTGGGCTTTAGCTCACTGCTCATTTATATATGTAGGTGTACAGGCACCAGACCGTGGCTAGAAGCGTCGGGGTTAAGCTCCAGTTTTGTCAAGCCAACCTATGTGCCTCACTGCGAGGTTCCGAGCCTGTCAAGTTATGGCTTAGGGGTGTTTTAATTTCCCCGTCTGTCTCTGTATCTATTTTGTATAACTGTATAGACTGTTATTGTACTGTGTAATAGGGATTAGGTCCCTGAACCGAATGATTGTTAATATATACATACTATTTTGTACTGTTCATGTATATGCGTGTGAAAAGTCTTTTTGGCATACAGACTGTCACAGCTCATTGGACATTGTTTATTTACTGTATTGGCTTCCGCCAGCCCCTGTACTCTGTATTCCTGTTTTACTGTTAAGCAGGCCTTTGGTAATCTCGGATTACTGGCCGGTTACGGTGCTAAACCCATAGGGGCGGGTTTGGGTCGTGACATTGCTTGCTCATTAATATTACATGCTTTAAACTTTCATAGTATCTATTGTTTTCTATTTCATTGCTGAGTGATCTTAGCTGAAGAACCCATGTGAGCCGTGGTTTGGCATTGAGGGTAAATTGTAGGCAGAAAGGGAAATGTAAGGAATAGAACATAAAAATATACTATATTAAACGAAACTTAGCTTCAAGGTGGAAGTACATGTAATGAAAGCAAACAATACTTAAGAATAGTTTTTCCAAGTAAGAAAAAGAATTTAGAATCTAAGGAGAGCAACCTGAGTAGAAATATTAGGGAAATATTTTTCATATAAGAATTTAAAAATCAAAATTTTATACTTTTAGAAGAAGAACTTAGAATTAAAATCAGATCCAGTACTGAGCTTATACAAGAATTGGAAGATAAAAAACTAAGATATCAATTTCTGTTATCATTGGCTTCCGGTAGATCTCTAATACATTATAGCTCGAAAATTACACAAATAAATAGACAGATAACTATAAAACAATAAGCCTTACAGCTAGTCATACAATAGCTTAAAGATTTATTAGCATAACTGTAGAATTAATTAGATAATTCTCAACCCAACTTCAAAATAGTGGTAAACCACTAACTCATCACCCCAAAAATTGGTATCAGAGCAGTGTTCGATTTTAGGACAGTTTAAGTTAGCTTGTGCATTTTGCTTACGGAAATAGAGTAGTTTTTATTTTTGGACAATTTAGTTATAAATTTCATATTATAGTAGTTTTTAATAATTTTAAAGTAGGATTTAATTCTGTGTATGAAAAAAGTAGAATATTTAGATTTAGAACTTAACAACCATAACCATCGTCTTAATATTGATAAAAATAAATTTCGTTGTAATTTTGAAGGTATTTTTACACATCAGCTCCATAGCGAACATAATTCTCAGCTAAATAGTATTATAGATCATCAGATTAACTTTGCAGAAAATATTGAAAAGGACGTAGATAAAATTAGTATTCTTTTTACTTCATCTATAGACCATCTTCGTAATACTCGCAATATAATTAAAGATCAAGATAAAAAAAAAAAATAGATTATATCCAAAATCAGTGTAGTTCAATCCTTCAAAAAACGAATAGATTTAAATTTAGAAAAATTCCCCCGCCAAGTTAGAAATAAAAACTCTAATTTCAGCCATAAATATCAGTAGCTCGAAGCAAATAGAGTTAGAATGTAAGCAACTAATTGAAAAAATTCATAATCAGATAAATCAAATAGCTAGACAAATAGAACAGATCAACCAAATTCAAGATAATTTAAAACAGAAATTAGAAATTTTAGAACAACTAATAGGATCTTAATTTATGAGTAGTGATAAGAAAAGCTAATAGAGACTACCAGATTATTTTAAAACAAGCATAAGACTTTTATAATAACCCAGGGGGAATTAGTAGCTATCAAGGAATAAGTCAGTCAGATAAAATATCAGTAAGACAAAATAATATAGAAATTTTATTTCTTATCCGATTGTGTGAAAAAATCGAAGAATTATCAAAACAACTACACAATTTAGAAAATCGTTTAGCTTCGTTGGAAAGATTAGTACTTCAAAAAAGAAAAGGAATAGAAGGACAAGCACGTAAAGCCCAATCTCGAATAAACGAAGAAGATATAGCTAAATATTTTGAAAAGCTTAAATTACCAAAGAAATTTGCTTGTAGAATTTATAGAAAATAAAAATGTTTAAATAGCTAGTAAAAGGAAGTAGTAGTAAAAAGCGTAATGAGGATGAAGATGTTAAAGTAGAAGAATTTATAGATATGGAGCAGCAAATAGAAAAATTTAAAAAGGAAAAATTAGAGTTAATTCCAGCCAAATATGTATATAAGTTAGGAAAAGTACATAAAAAATAATATTTATTTAAACACTATGGTGAACAAATGATTAGTGTGACTTAGGAAGATGAAAAAATACAGCCAAATGATTAGTGTGATAGGAGTTAAGGCTTTAACTAGAGAAAACATAGGAGTTAAAGTTTTTGTATGTCTTTATGATGATAGGTTTAATGATGTAAGACAAAATATCTTAGGCAACTATGAATTAGATATGAATTCAAATGAAGGAATAGTTTATTTTACACCAGATTTCCTTTTACCAACCTCGACCTTTCATAAAAAGATAAAAATAAGGATAAAAAGTAGAGGATATAAAATGAAAAGGGAGAAAAGAATTTATTGGTTTGCACAGGGTTTTTAGGTTTAGCGGTTTCAGAAAGCAATACCCATTACAGACTTACAAATGATCAAATAGTTAAGATATTAGGCGCAAAAGAAATATAGACACTGCCAGCTAAAAAATATAATTTTGAAGATAATGCAGCACCAGATTGAAATTTGAGAGATTTTCTAGGACAAAATAGCTTAGCCTCTCAAGATAACTTATTATATCAAAAAGCAGATGGAAGTTATGCAGTAAGATTTACTCAATACGCATATGTAGCACCAGAAAAATCCGAAGATGATGAATTTAGTAGTATAGATAGGGAAGAAAATCAAGATAATCATAGTGATATAAATCAGCTTTATATAATGATAGAAGAAAAAACAATATCACAAAATAAAATATATAATGTTGATGAGATAGATTTGGAAAATTTCACCCTATGTGATATAAATAAAATATTAGATACCGCATACTATGAATATATAACTAGAAGAGATACCAATGATGAAGCAGCGTCATTTTTAGATCAAGAATTTTATACCGAATATGTAGATGATATTTTAGAAGACAAAATACACCCTAACAAGATATTTAAAATACCAAAACAATCTAACTTAGAAGACACTTTTTATATGAACACTCAAACAACAGAAAGCACAGGAACTAGCAACCCACAAACCACAGTAAAAGATTTAGTAAAACTAATGCATTATGAAGTAGAAGGAAGAAGACCATTAACTTAGGTTGAAGGAAGAAATTAAGAATTTTGAAATATTTATGAGTCTTCTTAGATACACACGTATACAAAAGTAACAAAAATTTAAATGAAAAAAATTGAATATGAACTTAAAATTGTTCACATTGATATTATAAGGATTAAAGTGAAATTTAAATCAAACTATACAACGTTTTATTTATTTGAGCGGAAAATATTTTTTGGTATTTTATATAATAAAAAACGAAAATTAACGAAATACATTTTTCATGGTCAATAGAAAACAAATCTATATGGATAAAAAATATATATTTTTTACTTTTAAAAAAACATTTTCCAAACCAAAATTTTAATAATGTCACCACACTATCGCAACTACTCTTACTTCCACCACTACACCATTACCACGACCACTGTTACTATTACTGTCACCACTACCGCCACCCTACTACCATGACATCATCTCCACCTCTACTTGCATTTCACCATTACCACCGCCATTAAACATAGAAAACATTTTCTTCACCAAATATTTTTTATTTAAAAATATTTTTCTTCTAAACAAATGAAAAATAAGTAAAAAATGTAATTATCTAAATGATATTATACAGTAGTTTAGGGGTGTTTGTATAATTAAGGGGGATTTACTGTGGTCGTGTTATAACGGAGCCCTCAACTGCCTCCCGTGGTTAGCGACTCGCAAAGCATTTTTCTGAATTTTGGAGAGAGAGAGAGAGAGAGAGAGAGAGAGATGGAGACCACGGAGGTGGGTGGTGGTGGAGGTGTCGGTGTCGGTGTTGGTGGCGGTGGGATGAGTGGAAGGGAAGCTAGAAGGAGGAGGATCGTGGACAGAGGGTCAGATCGATTGGCTCTGATCACGGGGCGTATTCCAAACCTGTCTCCCAAACATTCTCACTCGCAATCATCCCCTGCTATCTTCTTCCAAGATCAGTCCTTTCCACAATCTCCCCTCAATCCCTTTGATCAATTTCACTGTACCCTATCTCTCTCTCTTCTTCTCTTTCCATAATTCTTGTTTTCATATATATGTCCCCTGCATTTTTAATCATCATTCTATTCGTATGACTTGATTTTGAAAACCAATTGCCTGTTATTTACCCGATGTGACTTGTTTATTCATTCACTTACCCATTTTATGTGCGTTTTTTGGAAATTGAATTTGTGTGGTAAGGTTTTAAATATATATTGAGTTGTGTGTTTTATGTCTTTCTTTCTTTTTATTTTTTATTGACTGGCGTAAAAACATTGTAAACAGATTTACATAACATGGCATGGCATCTACATATTGTGCCCCTGAACTCACCTCACCTAATAGAAATATATACAATACTTGTTCACTTTCTACTTCTCCCGTAGATACATTATTATTTTTTAAACAATAAACAAGAAAACCACTAATTCTTCTTTATAAGAAAGAAATCTAGTTTGCCATAAGAGCGTGTCCAACACGTCATCAATTTCAAATTTGATGAAAAATGCCGAAACCTTTCATCAAACTGATATCAAATAGATGGAGAGCTACTTTTTTCATCAAATCAATGTAGCTTTATTCTTCCATATGAAATTTGTAGGTGACCGTTGGACTGTACGTCCTCCCGGACAAAAGAAAAGTGTTGGTCAATTTACACAAACTGGTCGACCGGCCGGACATCTGCCTGGTCATCCTTCCGGTCGACCAGTGCTTTGATGAAAAATATTGTCTGTTGGAACATTCGATATCAGATTAAGTTTTTACTCAAATTTGATGGGAAAAAAAAGAGTAAAGGTTGGAGATGCTCTAAGATATTCTTTTACCCCTCACAACAAATTGAGTTTGGACAACACATACAAGGAAAGAACATGATTCCAAAATTTGAAAAATGTGTGGATTCCTACTCTATATGTTCAAAACAACCGGCCTGTGTCTTTTACTTCTTCACCTTATCTCTGGTTGGTTTGGACCTGGTGGAAGTCCCAAATAGCACTGTAGTTAAAAATCCATTTAGGAATGCAAATGAAGTTCCCTTGTCAAACAATTTGACTATTCTCATGGTTGATCTTTAAACCTCCTTCACTGCAACCTGAACGTCATCCTGCATGTTTCCTTTTGCAAAAAAAAAAAAAAAAAGAAAAAGGAAAAAAAATAGTACAAGGGAAATGACAACGAGCATTAGCATATGATTGGTGTATATGCATTTGTTTTCTTGTTCAAGTTTAAATTGTTTCATATATAACTGTGAGGACATCAAGGGTTTGGCTTAGAGTGCCTTAGCTTAGCAGAATGTCAGAATAGGATTGCATTTCTTGCTGCACTTTGGATCGATCAGTGCATTTGAAATCTTTAGCATTATTGTTTTGAATTCAAGTTAGGGATCATTTATGGGGTAATAGAAATTTCTCTAGTTTAAATGTATTTATTTGCAGATATTACCCTAAACCTGCATAACCTGTCTTCAGGGCATAGGGTGGCAATTGATATTTAAATGATATCATGTGAATGAAGTAATCTTGTGTCAATTTTCGATCTCAAAGCAAGAAATTTAATATTAGCTCAAATTCCTTCAGTTATCAAACAATGTCATTTATTACTTATATCTGAATGTAATACATCTCCTCGATGGCATTATTGCTTTTGCAGCTGGTTTTAAGGGTGAAGATGGTTATTCTGATACACCAACGAAACATGATACACCAACGAAACATGACATCAATGCCGGGTATTCAAGGGGAAATGCTGTGACCTTCGCAAGCAGAGTAGAACCACAATTGCGCAAATGTGAGACAGACATAGGGGCAGTACAGCCATTACTTGTCACCCCAAAGGTTCCCGAAGCATCGGTTGATGAAGAAGTGTTTTCAAAAGCATGTGGCACTCAGCCCAATGTCTTCACTGCCAAAGAAATAAATTCATGCATTGTGGCTTCAGAAAGTACACGTGTTGTTTGTTCTGTCATAATAGCACTGTTGGTGGTTCTGTCTTATACTAATCTTCCTCATAACATAGTCAAGTCGCAGAGCACCATAGCGTCGAGGCCTCTTTATATACTCCTACTGACTGATGTAACAATTGTGCTTCTACGACTGTTAGGGAAGCGAAGAGATTCTGAGAAGATTGAGGAAGAAGGAAAAGTTGGTATGCTGGAAGACGAGGAAAACTGGAAAGGAGCAGTTAAGATTTTGGAAATGAGTTTGGTATTCTACCAAACAATACGCGCTGTTTTCATAGATTGCAGTTTCTATGTGGTAGTTGTCATCTGTGGCCTTTCTCTGGTTTAGCTTTTGTTGTGGTTATGATCACTGGCAGCTTCTTTGGTCTCTCCAGTGTCTAGTCATGACAGCTAATTCCAATGAGAAACTCTTTTTTTATTCTTATTGACTCAGTTGGTTTTCCCTGTTTATGTCCCTATATGGAATCACTGGGAAAAAAACACTCCTGTTTTTCGTTTTTATTTTCTTTTTTGCTCTACTGATGTAATCATGTTTGCCTCTTAATGAGTTGCTTCCACTGTTGTTTATATCTACTTATGTTTTGACTTCTAAGTTGACTTCATTTTAACATTGTTACATTCATCTAATAATGAATTGTGTTCCTATTTTGTAGGTATTAGTTGTTTGGATAGGTGGTTTTGTTTGTGTTGCTAGTTTGAATCTTACGCACTGGTAAGGGAGGATAATTGATTGATGAGGTGCTTTTAATTCAATGAATGAATTAGGGGATCGATTCAGAGAATTGGACCTTTATATATGACTGAGAAATCATGCTGGAAAGTGAGAGCTTCTATAATTCGGGTCTTTCTTGTGTCCACAATGGTATCTATATACCTTAAATATTACATGTTGTGTTTACCCAAATGGCATGAGAATGAATTAAATTGTTGTTCTTAATCTAAGGACATTGTTGGGATTAGGGGTCCTTTTTGTAAGGTCATTGTGGACGAGTAGGCTGGCTCTCAAAGGCCAACAGGTGCGACCGCAGACTTAGCCTAATGGGTCGAGATTCAAGTTTTTTTTTTTTTTTTTCCTTTCGTTTTCCCCCCATCTTTTATTTTTTGTACCAAGTTCGTAGATTGGACCAGGCCTCAATCCTTAGGCCTAGGCCTAGCCCAAGCCTCATTTGGGCTAGGTTGGTCTACTTAGGATACGGACTTGGGTTGAATAAAAGCTAGTAGGGTCACTGACTTTTGAACCAAATGATGACCCTTATAAGGAAAATAAGAAAAGGAAAGTTGCGTAGTACAATGATAAGATTCAAACTCAGACATCACGGTTAATAAGGAAACACTCCTAACCCTTGGATGGTTATCAAACATTGACGAATGTTTGTTCAAGAATTAATTGCATGCATATCAATATTGCTTCACATGAATGCATTATATACTTGACCTAGTTACTTATCAAAAAAATTATATACTTGACCTAGTTGTTAATTGAATTGTAAGGTGATTGCTGAAACTGTAGATGTCATACCTTTTTGTGATGAACTTGTAATTATTCTGACCAAGAGTTATGGTATTTCTTTAACTGAGTACATAGAGAATTTTCCATGCGACTAATACCTTTTCTCTTGAAGTTGTTGGTTTGTCACTAACAGTGCTTTGGATAATTATATATAAAAATAAAAAAAAATAAAAAACTGAAATTTGAAATTGCTCGATGTTAGATAACATGCAGGCCCAAAATGGTAGTATTAGGATCTCGTGAGCAATTATGCATTCATGAAGAAGTGAGTTTGCTCCGTGGAAGAACCCAGGCAAATGCCTGCCATTCCCTTTGTGAAAAGCACAAAAAGCGATACTGCCGCCATTTTCCTCGTGTTTCAGGTAATTTTATATGAGTAACACATGGTTGTTTTTAATGATGTATATTCTATTTGGTTTCTCTCTTTAGCTTCAATGCACAACTTATGAGCTTTTAAAGTAAATATATGTAAGAGGATAGATTGGAGCAGGTAATGAGTTTGTTTAGCTGAATCAAATAACATGATTTCCTGATGCTCACAATAGTGATGGCTTAATATTCTTGAAGGCGCTTTTGTGCTCTTTCTTGTCAATCAGAAGGCTCTTTATGATATGTACTAATCCGATGAAACTTCTGCTTCCTTTTGATGTTCAGTGGATCAATTGTTCTGAAAAACAGCAAACCTTTCCATTTTTCTTTTGTAGAATTTATGAAGGAAAATCCCAGTCTTGGAGATGAACCTATTGACATAGAGGAGTTGGTCAATATTGGAAAAAGCTGTGGAGTTATTTACGTATTGTTCTCTTTTAATATCAAAAAGTTAAATAATAAGTTCATGTTTACTCGTGATTGTCAATGTTCACACTTTTTTTGTAGGTGTCCTTATTATGTGTCCCGAGAGCTCCACAAGGTTGCTGATATAGTGTTTGCGCCATATAACTATCTTATTGATCCTGGGAATAGAAAATCTCTTTCGATTAAGTGGAATAATAGCATATTGATATTTGATGAAGCTCACAACTTGGTAAGTAGAGACGCTAACTTTTGATGTCTCCTGGCCTTGTGAGCTACTTTTTTCCAATAAACACAAATATGATACTATACGAATATGGAGATACAACAAAATCTAAAAAATACATGAATGGCCAAGATCATTTGAAAAATTAAATATTTTAAAATTTTTACAAATTCTATTAAGCTAAGAACCTCCAATCCAATCATTGAACCTAAACTTCCTGAACTCATTTTCCTAAAATTATGGATTTTGTAAACAAGGGCAATGGTACAATGTTAATTTTCTAGAAACCAGCATTAACAGAGCCTCAGTTCCTCTGCCTCGGTTCCTGAAGCAGAGGAGGAAGGCAAGTGTGTTTTACATTCAATTGTTAAGGATTCAATTGCTTGCTTTAGTGGTGGAGGAATTTGCTAGGGGTTCAACCAACAAAGAAATGTATCAGAGGAGAAGAGAAGCCCTAAAATCGATGTAGTTTTCGTCTTTTGTTAAGCTTAAATTGGGCTTCAATTTTCAATTTTGCCAATAAGACCCTTCTGATTTGTAATTTAAATAGAGACTGTTACTTTATTTGTTCTGAACCATATCCTCTATATCTGAGCCATATCCTACTTATTTTAAGCCGTATCATCTTGTATCTGAGCCGTATCTGAAAATGAAAAAAAAATGAAGTGTTTTTGGGTTCTTCTTGGACGTATCCGACATGTATCAGGCACGTATCCGTATCTCACAGGCATATCCAATACGTATGGTGTCTTTTTAGAGTATCTGTGCTTAGAGGTTTTTGTTTTGTTTTGTTTTTGTTTTTACCCTGCTCATCTACTCTCATAATTTCTATAATGTATGTGACAAAAAATTAATTATTCACTGTAAATCATGCAGGTTTTTAACTTGTATTTAATATATTTTGACTTTAGCTATTGGCAAAAACTAAAATGTCCTTTAAAATCCAGGAAAGCTTGTGTGCGGATGCTGCGTCTTTTGACTTGCCTTCATGAATTCTTACAGCTTGCATTTCTGAATCAAAAAATTGTTTAGACCTTCTATTGCAAGGAGGGATAATTCAAATGACAAATCATGTAATCCAGATAATTTTGGAATTCTCAGAGGTAAATTAAAATGGTTGAATGAATCAATTATATAGATGTTTCCATTCCTTATACTACTTTCACAATGTATATTTTACTGTTCTAATAGTATTTGTACTAGTTCCTTGGCTGATTCAGAAACCAGCTTGTATCAAGTTGATTTTAGAATACTGAGCATCTGGTTTTACTGGAAAATTTATTTATCATATATTTAGTTATATTTTGAGCCATTTTTCTGCTTTATCTATTTCTTAGGCCTCGTTTGGCAAGCAGCTATTTAGCCTAAAAGTCAAAAAGTTACTAAAAAAACTAAAAAGCCTATAACTTATACCAAAAAGTCAAACATTCCATTTTCTCTCTACTTTTTGCACATCTTTTCGTAAAAAAGCCAAAAAGTCACCCCAAACCTACTAGTTTTTTTTACCTCATATTTTAGCCAAAAAGTCAAAAAGTTACTAAAATAGCCTGTCCCCAAACGAGGCCTTATTTTCATAATATTCACGGGTGATCAATTTTCTGAGTTAAATCATGCATTTCTGGCAGCACTTCTTTTAAAACTTGAGAAGCGGATTGCTGAAGTCCCTATTGAATCCAAAGAATTTGGTTTTACCAAGCCTGGGCCTTACATTTATGAACTACTTGCTGATCTGAACATCACATATAAAACTGCCACAATGCTGATTGGTACAATTGAAGAAGCTATTATGCTTCTTGAGGAAGGTAAGCTATAAACAGTCACATAGCCTTGACAGTTGTGGTTTCAGCATTCTCCAAGTTAATTTTTATGAATGGTTTTATGTGTGGGACTTATAGTTTTGTTAGGCCAATATAATCAAAATAATGAGTCACTCTTTTTTCATATATGTTTTTCTTGTTTATCAATATTTGGATGGACAAATTCATAATTTAGAACATGGATGGTGGTTAGTTTTTTTGTTATCTATCCTCTGATGTATTTTGGTTTATTTTGATCTGGATTCCTTTTTCTTTTCTTTAGATGCAAATGTCACTGATAGTGGAGGGCCACACAAGATGAAGGGAACTGTATGCAGGCTGGATAGTATGGGTGACGTTCTTAAAATAATTTTCAGAGATGGTGGTAGAGCTCATGCTCAATATTATCGTGTAAGTTTGGATATAATGATGTTTTTAACTAATCGTATAGTTAGGTAGGGCAACTATATTATATGCGTTGTAACTTTATAGCTGGAGTTTTTTCCATGAGATAATTGTCTGACTTGATTTTATTTTTATTTTTTTGTTTCCTAAGCTTCATGTTCAGGAAGTTGAAGCTAGTGCTGCAGCTGCTTTTAAAGGTGATAGGGAGACATATTTCTTCTAAAGTTTGAGTCTTAACTTAATTTGATATACTTGATGTGTATTAAATATTATATTTCTGTGATGTACATATGTATTTATTTATTTTTCTCTTTCTTTTGAATTATCAGTTTGTCACTGATGTTTACAATATGTATGTGATCGTATGCACAGAAAATCATTTATATGGAATAAATTCTCTGGATCTAATAAAAAATTAGGACTATGTTGAAGAATAATAACAAGCAAACTGTCTTCAAACTGAAGGTTCGCTTAATTCACTCTGGCTGCAAGGCATCTGGAATCTTGACTGAAGCCTATATGAAATTATGTCATGAAAAGTTGAATTATGTCATTGTGAAGTTTTTCCTTTTTTTTTTTGGAACAACATTGTGAAGTTTTTCCTTTGCCTCATATTAAAGCAACAAATTCTGGAATGGCCTAGTCTTGTAGACTTGCTCCTCTATGCAATTGAAGACATGCATTCTTGCCCTATACCTCCTTATATATTTTCATTGATTTTCATGCTGCAGGTAAGGCTTCTAGAATACTCAGCTGGTGGTGTTTTAATCCAGGAATTGCCATGGAAGAATTCTCCCAGTTGGGTGTTGGATCCATCATTTTGACATCTGGCATATTATC